GAGGTACATGACGTTACAGTACAAGTTCTCATATGTCCTGAGTCTTAATTGACCTTAGAAGGCTAGGGCCAAAATGTTGGCTTTCCTTGTATTCCTCCTAAAAGAACATTTTAAAAAGGGAGGGAGAACCTTCACTCTTACTGTATTCTATGTTTAAGTAATAGGAAAAAATCTAAAGCTTTCATGGGTTACGTATTCCTCAGATATTTACTTTATTGGTTGATCTTGTTGGACTCTTCCTTTTGTTAGGAGAAAAAATACAGTGTTAATATAAAATCTTAATAGCTGATTATATATAGAGACCAGAAAAAACTCACTTTATGGGTTAAAGCTAGAACATTTTTATGGCTTTTTAAAAAAGTTTAGGTGTGAAAAAATAACCACACATTTCTAAAACTCAATAACTTTTAAAAGAAGATTTATGTGTAACTTTTTGTGTACAATATTTCTATCCTGTCATTTTAGGCAATTAATTACTGATATCATATTGTTTTATCTTAGTTTTTTTACTTGTGAGCATTTAATTTTAAATTCTGACTTACTAGGAAGGATCAGAAAGTAGATTACACCCTAACTAGATATTCAAAATTTTTGTCTTTGACACGACATAAATACTAAGTATGACTTAAGGATCTAAGCACATTGGGTTAATTTTGATTAGACTTGAGCCCATTTAAAAATAGTAATCATAGGGCCAGGGTGATGGCTCAGTAGAATAAATGCTTGCCTGGCAAGTGCAAGGGCCTGAGTTCAATCCCTGGTTCTGCCCCCCCCCAATAAATAAATAAAATAAAAAAATAGTAATCACAAATTTATGTTTATGAATATTTCATACATTTCTAGTTTTCTTTCCCAAACAGACAAATGCAGACAGGAAATAAAATAATGCTCCCTCTCTTGGGGTGTCTCTTTCATGTTTAACCAAGTATAATAGTTGTAGTAGCAGCAGTTGCCATTAATTGAGTCCTTACTGTCCTGGGTATTGTTCTAACCTAGTGCTTCTTAAATTTTTGACCTTGGAATCACCTTGTAGGGTGGGAATTTTAAAGTATTGATGCTTGCATGCCATCTCGAGAAAGTCTGTTGTGATTGATCCGGGCTGAAGCTTGAACATCGGTGTTTGCCAGAAGACCTTATTGTGTAATCAAGATTCAGAACAATTGTATTAAGCATCTGTTTTACATTAGCTATTTAATTTTACAATAGCTCATTTGGTTGGCATTAGTGTCTTATTTTCATCAAGGATAAAAGTGTAGAGAGATAAATTAGTTCTCCCTCCCCCCAGTCATTCAGTAAGTAAGATAAAGAGCTGCAGTTGAGTCTAGGTCTGATTCATTCCACTGCCTGTGCCCATAACTTTGGCATTATATAGCCTCTCCTCCATCAGCACCATCAGGAAAGGCTGTGTGGGACAGTGCCAACCTAGGTGTGGAAAGACTTAGTGATGGGAGCTTTTTGACCTTTGCAGCATGTTGAAAACATGTGGAAGACTCTTTGAGGGTGAATGGTTAGGTCCTCCTCAGAGTTGGATATGAAACTTCAGCGTAGTTATTTTATTTTATTTTTTTATTTTTTTTCAAAGTTTTATTGATAAACAGATAGCAATGAGACAGTTTCAAATCAAATCGGAAGTACAGTTTCAA